GGTAAAGCAGGTTAAAACTTTAAAAGGGTATAAAGAAAATTTTAAAAATAGTAATTATAAGGAAACAAGTGGCAAGAATTAAAGCAAACGCTTTAGAATACTTCTCCTCCTCCCACAACTTTTTCTTTTACCCTGACAATGTAAAGAAACAAAACCAAACATTTCCAGTTAGTTTACTACCTCTAAAAAGTCTTTCTTCAGTTCATTTAGGGAGAGAAGTCCCTCTTGTTAATGTTGTGGAGACTTCTCCACAAGAGGAAAGAGTTTTCTCCTGGTTCCTAATTTGGTCACAAATAGCAGCTGCCTGGGGGAGATTTATCATGAAGCTTCTCTCTTTTTCTACATCCTGCCTACAGCTTGTTTATGAGTCATGTTGACCTATGGGGTATGGTTTTAAATATGAGCTGGTTAAAGGCAAAAGTTCTTTTATTTATTTCTAAAATCATCTTCATCCCTGGGAACAGAGATTTTCTCCTGGCAGTATGGGATTACTCTTCTTACTTTGAAGTTTGAGCAACTTCTCATAAAGTTTTTATGTTAGACTTCCTGAGGGCAGATTTTGACCTGTTTAGGATACTTACTCAGAAAGTCCCTTGGGAAGCAGCCCTTAAAGGAATCCAGGAAAGGTGGGTGTGCTTCAAAACAGAGATCTTGATATCACAAGAACAGGCTGTCCCTGTTTGCCAGTAAAGAACCTCTACGATGCAAACATCCAGCTTGGATGGGGAATGAGGGTTTGAAGGACCTTAGGAATAAAAGGAGGATGTATCAGCTTTGGAAGGATGGTCAGGTTTCTCAGGAAGTATTTAAGGGGGCTGCTAGGGTATGTAGGGAAAGAATTAGGGAGGCCAAAGCTCAGTTTGAACTTTATTTGACAACTTTTGTATAGAATAAAAAAAAAAAAAAACCAAAACTGTATTTACAAATATATTAATGGTAAAAGGAAGGGTAAGACCAGCTTTTGCTCTCTTTTGGATGCAGTAAGGAACTTAGTAACTGCAGGTGAAGAGAAGGCAGAGGTGCTCAATGCCTTCTTTGCCTCAGCCTTTAGTGGGAACACAGCTTGTCCTCAGAACAAGTGTCCTCCTGGGCTGGTAGGCAGGGCATTACAGATACTTTAGCATCTGCTTACTTTAGTGTGGAGGCCTTTGTTGGATATCCATTTGAACCCTTCATCTCCCCAGAGTTTTATGCGTTACAGGAGAAAAGTGCCTTTTCTTCATAGCTTATAAGAGGATTTCAGCTTTAAAATCAAGGCATCTCCTCGTCCCTCCCATCTGGGACTTAACTTCCTCCTCACTGGCCGTGATGTTTTCATGCTGTTCTTTTACACGTTTTCATCTTGTTCTTCTCTCTCACTCGAGTTAGTACTGAAGCACTGAAAGGGTTTTTGTGCTGCTTGGAGCCCGCAGATGTTTGCCCTGACCCCGTTCCAGACCCCGAGCTGCGGCTGGGGAGCGGCTCCGATCTGATCAGCCCGGCCGGAGCTCAGCACCAGCAGCACCAGCAGCACCAGCAGCAGCAGCACCAGCAGCACCAGCAGCACCAGCAGCAGCACCAGCAGCACCAGCAGCAGCAGCACCAGCAGCAGCACCAGCAGCAGCAGCACCAGCACCAGCACCAGCACCAGAGCAGCAGCAGCAGCAGCACCAGCACCAGCACCAGCAGCAGCAGCAGCACCAGCAGCAGCAGCAGCAGCACCAGAGCAGCAATAGCAGCAACAGCAGCAGCAGCACCAGCAACAGCAGCAGCAGCGCTCGGGGCTGGGCTGGCTGGGACAGGGGCGGCTTCTCCTTGCCCTGCCCGCTGGCTGCGGCCGCTTCTCTGCGGTAAAATCCCGATGCTGGCCTGGGGCTGCTGCCGGGGCTCGGCTGGGCCGGGCTGGGGCTGTAACAAGCAGTGAGATGAGAGCAAGGCCGGCTCCATCCGGCCCGCAGCATCCCCCTCTCCCTGCCCGGCAGCGGGGCTGGGATGGGGAAGGGGCCCAGCCCGGGCCTGTGGCAGCGCCCGCCCGGCTGTGGTACCTCACTCTGTGCCAGACGGGAAAGAGGAAATTCACGGGTTCCTTTGGTTTTAACAGTATCTTTCACAAAGGCATATTCAGCTGCTTAGTGGTTCAACAGACTTTCAATTAGATAAAAAGCTTTTGTGTCACTTCCCTAAATTCTTCCCATGTCAAACTCTTACTCACTGTAATGCTCTCTTGCCCTCAGACATTTTAGTTTCTGTTTATAATCTTGAAAACATGACTCAGAAAATACCTGAAAAAACACTGTTCCCTCTCCTGGTAAAATATAACAGTTTAATAAAGGAGTTTAATAGGAGACAAAGACAACAAAGCAGAGGTTATAGCTGGGTGTGTCTTGGCCCTCAGCGTGGAGCACACCTGCTAGTTTGGAAACACAAATTATATAGCATTTCTATTGCAGCAGCCTGGTGCATATGTAAACTTTTCCCCAACACCTGCTGGTTTGGAAACACACTTCTATAGCATTTCCACTGCATCAGCCTGGTGTAAATTTTTTCCCAAAGTAGTTTACATGCCCCAAGAACTGTTTTGCATGGCTCTTCCTCGTGTCCTGTGCATTTAGAGCATGCACATTTCTTGGTTGTGGTTTTAGTCCATTTTATCATCACCTTCAATTCTTGAGCTGGGGTCCACACTGCCTTCAGAAGATGAGTGCTGATAGTTGGCATCATATATTCCTTGGATATTATCTCAACCAAGCAGGCATTTTAACACAAGCAGATCTAGATCAGCTATTTCTAAGTTTTAGTTAGCAACAGAAACAGTAACTATATGTTTATAGCAAAGCCACTTTAACACCACACATATAGAATCCATTTAATATTTGCCAAATGCCAATAATACTATAGTATATATCTATAACACAGCGTTCATTTTTTAACACTTTACTTGGAAATCATCATTTTCCAGTTGATTTTGATGTTGAAACCATTCATTGCAGCTATTCTCCATACAAAGAAACCTTTAGACATGTCTTACTGCCAGTAGAAGAGAATTTTCAGTAATTTCTGCAGTTTGCAGTAGGAGTCTTAGTATTTGTGTGCTTCAGTAGTGTTCATCCAGCCACACTTCATGTAAAAGTAGAATTCCCAAAAATCAAATGTTTCAAGTTTGAAGTAAAATGTTTCTGTATTTTATGTTCTTTTGTGTGTCAGAGAAGATTTGGGCTTAAAAGATGAAAATGTGCCTCTGTTGAAAACAAAGAGAAATTTTACTTTTATGGAACCCTCATTTTAACTCAGATGTCTGTGACTCCTTATTGGTTTTGCCCCCTGAATGTGAATGCAATTTTCAGCACCAGCTGGGCTTTGTTGGAAATGGTATTGGGGACCCACAAAAAAAGTTCCTCATTTTAGTGGCTGAGACCATGGTGAGGTTTTTAGCATTTCCTTCTCTCAGGTGGGATCTGATGCCCTGAGGTGGCCTTGTCTCCTCAGGGATTTCATGCCCTGAGGAAGCAAAGGCTGATGGAATGTGCTTGATCCTCTCCTGTCTAATGGGGAGGAACAGCACCCAGCAGAGCTGGAATCACCTTCTCCATTTCTGATTTCTGCTGCCAACAGATCACTGGGCTCTCGCAGGGTCCAGAAGTCACTTTTCCTTTTGGATGGATGGCCTGAAGGCACCCAGGGGCTGCAGGCTGGGACTGCTTCAGAAATCCCTTGGGCTTGGAAGGATCCTTCTACCTGAGGGCAGAATGGGCTGTGCCAAGCACAGAGCGAGAGGGACTCACAGCAACAGAATTAAAGGCTGGTGAGAGAACCCAAAGAATAGACTGTAACATGCAGAGCATGAGAGAGAACCAAAGACTGAAGATGTCCGAAAAGTGGAGTTGAACTTCCAGCCAGCTTGAAGATTGTTTGGCTAACACTTTGGGTGAGGAGTTTGACCTGTATTGTTTATTGATGTAATTGTCCTGTTTTAATAGATGAGAATCACAAGCATCTGTTGAGGGGAAGTACACAGGGAACCATCAGAGGTATTGGGGCAGTTTCCTTAAGGACCAACAAGAAGAGTGAAAAAAAAAAATAGAGGGCAAGACCAGGTTGGCCCCTGTGTTCACCATTGAGAAGATTCCATAGCCCTGCTGTGGGCAGCAACCCCATAGGCATGGCAAGGTGGGGGCAAGAAAGGCACCCCAGACCTCTGTCATTGCTCAGCTGTCTTTTAATGCAATGGGAACCAGAAGGTAAGACTGAGTTGGCCTCTGTACTCACAACTAAGATCCACCTGCTGTGAATAGCAACCCCATGGGCACGGTAGATGGGAGTAAAAAAGGCACATCAGACCTCAGTGATCCCATTTTGTCCATTCCAAATAAGTGTGGCTAAAGAAAACCTGAGATTTTTTCCTTCTGTTCCCACTGTCCTTGCTCACATCAACAGATGCTGGTATGATTCATTAATTTTTTTTTTGAGAAGAGCAGATTATCAGAATCAAAAATTAGAGCTAATTGTTTGAGACAAATGACTAATAGGAAAAGAAAATAATAGCTTTAATAAATAGGTATAATAGATACTCTCAGACTGTAACATAATAGAGACTGTGAAATGTGGAAATGATTTTTTCATTTGTAATTAACTCAGAAAATGGTGTAAAATAATTAAGTGATTTCCCACATTCAGGGACATCCGTATCAAAATGACAAGATAACAGAAACAAGGGCATGGCAAACAAAAGTATTTATTGACCCTCAATTTCAGGGAGTTAAAATACAAAAATATAGAACAACAAGGAAACATGAAATATACTCGTTGAAAGTGCAAAATGTCTTGAAGACAATTCAAAAGTTATAAAAACCCAAAACAATATGTAACTTTAAGTTACATGGCAATTCTTAAGAACTCGCATAAATGTACAAGTAGATCTAAAATGAAACACTACATAGAGATAGAAAAAATAGTTTCACTTGACCACGTGGAAAGACAGGCATCGCAGATCAGGATTTCAACTCTTAATAAACTCTTATAAAAAGTGCAAATAGTGAGCCATATTTCCCACACATAATGAGGACAATGCACTCACTGCAGGCAGCATCGGTGGCAGGATGGATTGCAGAGACTTTTCCTTTGCAGCCCCAGCCCAGCGCTGGCACTGGGGATGCAGAGGCACTGAGGTGACCCTGAGAGGAAGTGCAAGGCACAGGGCGCAGCTGAGGAAGGACAGCGCTGTGCTGGGCTCAGAGGTGAAGCTGGCACTGCCCAGCGTGGAGAAGGTCCTTTGTGCAGCCCCTGTCACTGGGGAGCTTGGGCCTTGCTGCAGACATACGGCCGGCGATGTGAGCAGTTCTCACTCTTCAATGTCTCATCAGCCAGGTACACACACTGGGAACTGCCGAGGACAGGAACCCTGCAGGGAGGAGCAGAGGCAGCGCTGGCTGCCAGGGGAAGCCCTTGTGCCCCTGTGCCCGCAGGCCCTGCCCGGCTCCCCGGCACTCACCGGGAGCTGTAGCTGCTGCCGTCCCCCCAGTGCAGGCGCTCGCCCCGTCTGCGCAGCCCGAGCCAGAAATCGCCGTTCCCAAAGAGGCGGAAGAGCAAATCCTGCCCAGGAGAGAGGAGTGGGAGCTGCCCCGGCCCCTCGGGGGGACACGTGCCCGGGGCTGCCCCCGCACGCCGGGGCTCCTTCCCTGCAAGGCCCCGGCCCAGGGCTGCAGCCCCGGCCCTGCGAGCACCGAGCCCGGCCCAGGAGCGCCCCCAGGCTGCCCTCAGCCACCCCACACCGCCCGCAGCCCCTCACTCACCATGGCCTCCTCATCCTGGGCAATGGCCAGGGAGGCATTGAGCTCGGAGCACCGCTCCTGACCCTGATCCCACGTGCTGTAATCCCGTGAGAAGTAGTAGCAGACCCCCTTGTACCCAACCCAGCCATGGGGACAGCCCAGAACCAACAGCGGAGTCGCAGGTGTGACTGGAAGCTGTGGTGCTGCAGGGGGAAGAGGAGAAGCTCTGAGGATTCCCCTGTGCAGGGAGCAGGGAGCCCGCTCTGCCCCGAGGGGCTGGGCCCAGGCTGCTGCCCCTCCCTTACCTGCCAGCACAGCCAAGGCCGCCCCCAAAGCCAGCACCAGCACCAGGAGCAGCAGAATCAGCACCGCCGTGCCCACGGGATGGCACCTGAACCGTTCACCTGGAACAGGAAAGAGCTGCTGGCTGCCAGAAGCAGAGCCGGCCCTGCAATCTGCTCAGCCCACGGCCAGGGAGCAGAGCAGGGAGCCCTGAGGCAGTGTGGGCCTCCCTCAGCTGGCAGCCAGAGAGCCAAGAGCCTGGCCACAGGCAGGGACACAGCTGTGGGCACAGGCAGGGACACAGCTGTGGGCACAGGCTGCAGCAGGAGAACTGCACAGCCTTGGGGGCAGCTGGGGCTCTTGCTTCCAGCCACGGACGGGGCCCAGCAGAGCACGAGGCCTCTTCCAGACATCGGGAAACAGCCACACCCCTGCCAGCCCTGGCCTTGGGAGGGGACACGGGCCCCTGCCTAGAGGCCACAGGGGTGGCCCTCTACTCACCCAGGAATCTTCTGAGGTTCCTTTTGTGTTCATTGCCCATTGCTGCTGTACCCTGGGGAGCCAGGGGCTCCCTCACACTCCCATCCCTGGTGCAGAATCCATTCTCCACATCTGCACTCACTGCACGCTCACAAGTGGCATCCCCCTGCTTATGCCAAGAGGCTTCTTGGGCCCCAGGCACGTGTGGAACTGCGGCTGCTGGTCCCTCCTGGAGATGCTGGGGCTCATTAGCAACTCTAGTCATGGAGTAGAATTCACTCTTCCCCTGCTCACAGGCGCCATCTCTCTGCCCGGAAAAAACAGCATCTTCCTGCGGAGACATCAGGAGTGCTTTTTGAAGATCCTTTGGGAGCTTGGCCTCGGGAACAGCTTTGCAGCCGCGCTGATGGCACCCTGAAAGGGACACGGTGAGAGGTCGCTGCTGGTGCCGGCCGTGCGGGGGCTCAGGAGGGCGGTGGCAGCTGTGGCTGCGCTGTCGCCGCTGCCCAGAGGTGCGGCAGCAGGTGCGGAGACAAGCGCAGCCCCCGGCAGCTCTGCGGTGGCCGCAGCCGCGGCCCCTGTGGCTCTGCAGCCGCTGCAGCCCAGCTCCGTGCCGGGCCGGGCGCTGAGAGCGCCTGCGAGCTGCCGGCTGCTGCTGGCCCGGGGCAGCTGCGGCTCGGAGTCCGCCTGCCGAGGGGCGAGAAGCAGCAGCCCCGGGCTGCTCACCATTGTGCCCCGCATGATTCCCTGCCCCGGCGCCTCGGAGCCCGGGCACACCGAGCGCCGGCACGGCCGCTGCGGCTCCTGCCTGGGCACACGGAGCGGCTCCTGGCACAGAGGTGTTATTATTATATATTATATTGGCCTTTTTTTGCAAATATTAATAATATAATGTTAAAATAACCTTGCTTTTATTTCTGCTCTTAAGAAAAACTTAAACATTTTAGTAGTGGTAGCTGATATAGGTATGAGTGAAATGTCTGTTTCGTCGGGTTAAAATCCAGTGCACATGTAATGCGGACGGTGCTATTGATATGCCTCTTACCAGCATCTGCCGTCTGAAGTATAACAAGGCACAAAATGAAAGTGAAATAGAGCAAAACCACAGTCAAGAAACATGAAAGCCCTATAAAAGCAGACCCCAAGGAGAGGCTATATAAAATAGTTCCTGCATTATGCAGAGAAGTTTATAGGAAAATATGAATATGTGTAAGATCTATGAATATGCAACAGGTTGATGTACCGTCAAAAAGTATTTAAAGGGGTATCTCCAAAGCCAAAAGTGTGCTCTTAGCTGAATGCCAAGTACTCGGCCTTTTTCAACCCTTTATTTCTGTCTCCTACAGTCTTTCCATTAAACCTTCTAAGTTTTAGCAGGAAAGTGAATCTCATTTTTCAGAGAGAGCAGCGCTGAGAAGCCTCGGCCCCGGAGCAGGCTGCGTGCGCTGCTTGGTGCCCGCACTCGGCGCCTGCAGCGCTTTGGGCTCTGAGGCACTGGGTTCAAGTTCATGCCGTGCCAGCCCCGAGTCGGGCACGGACACCTCCCGCCCGAGCAGCGGCCCCGAGCCCGGTGCCGCACGGGCGGGAACGGTGCCGGGCACGGAGCAGCCGCCTCCGTCCTAGCGAGAGCAGCCGCGATGAGCCATCGCTGCCGCGGCAGCAGCTCCATGCCGGCCATCCGGGCACGGAGGAGAGCGCGAGCAGCCGCTCCCTCGGCTGCCATCCCAGCGCAGGGGGCACACGGGGGATGCCGGCACCAGGAGTTCGCCAGAACCCCCCCGCCCTCAGCGCGGCCCCCTCCGCCCGCAGCGAGCCCCGAGCTGGGGCAGCACCGACCGCGGTCCCACCTGGGCTGGAGCCGCCTCCGAGCTCCGCCGCTGCCTCGCCGCACTCCGCAATGCCACGAACGTAGCGCCCGCCACCGCCGCTCCGCTCCCGGCCTCTGCTGCCTCATTTTAAATCCGGTGTGCGTGTGACCTATTGTTTCGGTTGACTAAAACGAGCGCCGAAAAGGAGCGAGGGGCGGGGACGAGGCGGGGAGGAGAGAGGTGACGTCGTGTCAGGAAGTTTCCATTTCCTCTCCCAAAAACAGTGGTTAGAAAGAGTCGTAGCTCCGCCTGACGGCGCGGGGTGGGCGGGGAGGAGAGTTTCTGGGATGAGAGCTCCTACAGTGAATTCTCGCAGGGATTCTTGGGCTGGGCTGGGCCAGGCCAGGTGCCCGGTGCCAGCAAAAGCGCTCTGAGCCTCTGCTCCTGCCCCTGGGCAGGCAACAGAACACAGCAGGAAAGGCTCGAGGATCGGCAAAGGCCAGGCAGAAATCTCTCACCGGTCACTGGTATAAAGGGACACGACTGGGGGGAATTCTTTGAATTTATTATGGCACAAATCGTGGCAAGAGAACGAGCGGTAAAGCAGCAGGGTTCAGCCTCGGAGCCAGGACTGTGCCCTCGGCGCCGGCAGCCGCCCCAGGGGGATAAAGGATGCCCGGGCCGAGCAGCGGCTCTGCCCCAGCACGGGGATGTGTCCGGAGCCCCCGCTCCGGGCCGGGCTCGCAGGGCCGAGCGCGGAGCAGGCGCTGAGCTGCTCCTGGAGCTCCCAGCGCTGCTGGATCCGGCGGGCGCGGCACAGGCACTGCCGGGGGCATCGCTCGGTACCTGGCGGCGTTTGCCGTCCCCAGGGAGAAACTGAGCCCGGCCCGCAGCGCCAGCTCATCCTCACCCTTCTATTGCAATTGCCCCATGGTTAAACCAAGGGGAAACTCCCTCTCGTGGCCAGTTCAAAGCCTGGAATCAAGGAGAGAACGGAGGATCCCTCTCAATTTAGATCCCTAAATGATTGTGAAAAATACGGTTTCTTTTCTTAGTAAAATTTAAAAGTTTAATAAAGGACAATAGGAGACAAATATAGTAAAGGAAAAATTACGGTCAGGTGCGTCTTGGCACTCATCCAGGTGCACACGCTCTTTTTGGAAACACTTTTAAAATACTGTTTCTTTGCATCATCTGTTCTAGATTTAGACTTTAAAAAAAACTAGTTTGCATGTTTTTAAAAGTGTTTAGCTTGGGTCTTCTTTGGGTCTGCCTTTTTAGAGCATGTATATTTGTTGGTTCTGCTTTTAGTCTATTCTTATCTTTATTTTTTAGTTATTGGGCTTTTTACAGAATATGAGTGCTGATAGTTGGAATATTAGTAGCAGGTCTTCATCATGCGTTTTTGGGACATTATCCCAACCAAGCAGGCATTTTAACACAAGCATATTTGTATCAGCTACTTTTAAGTTTAAGTTAACAACAGAAATTAAAATAATATTTCTATAACAAACTTATTTTAACACTACGCATATAAAATCCATTTTCATATTTGCAAAAAGCTAGTACTGTAATATATATCTATGACATGGTGCATAAGGAGGATCCCCCCTCAACTGAATCCTGAAAAAGCGAATCAAGGAGGATTCTCCTCAATTTGGCCTCCTAAAATGTGTGGAAATGCAGTTTCCCTCTTCAATTTTCCTCCACAAAGACCATTCTGGGGGCTTTTGCACATCTTTTTCATCTGTGAAGGTCCCTTGAAATGGAGTCTCCCCCTCGATGGAACTCTTACAGTGGCACATCAAGAGGTTCCTCGCAAGGGAAGCCCTTTCAGACCAGGGACAGCCATGTTTGCTCTCAGTTTGAGCCTGAAGATGATGAAAATGTCGAGGTGCTTTACCTCACTTCAAAATGCACCATAAAAATTTTCTCCTTCCATTTCAACATGAAAATCGTGGAAAACAGTGATTACCTGCCAAGAGAGGCACCCAAAATGATGACAAAGCTGTGCTTTCCTTCAATTGAGACCCTTCAGATCGCAGGTGAATGGGGATCCCCTCAGTTCAAACACAATTACAGAAAAGCTTTCCCCCCTCCATTTCAATCCCATTTTTGGTGCACTGGGGAGGGACTGGGGGTACTTCCCCCTCCTCACTGCTCACCCCTGGGGCTGCTGCCCCTCGCACAGTGCTGAGCAGTTCCCTCCCAGTTCCCTGCCAGTTTCCCTCTTGCTGGCGAGCCCCGGCAGGGATGGGGAGAGCACTGGGCAGGAGCTGGGAGCGCTGTTCCTTCCCAGGGCTCCTGATATCCCTGCCAGTGCTCCTTCCTGCTCACTCCCGCTGCTCCCGCTCTCCCTCCCAGCTCCCTCCTGGCATTCCCTGTGCTCCCAGTTCCCTCCCAGTGTTCCCAGGATCTCTCCCAGTGCTGCCAGCGGCAAAGCCCTGGGGGCACAGCGTGCTCTGCTCTTGCAGAGGTGAGACTGGAGCTGTCAGGAGAGCGAACCCGGCTGGGAAAGCGTTCCCTGCACAGGAAGGTGTCTCCCCGCTCTGACCACAGAGGGAGCTCAGCCTCCGCTCTTGACTCCAAACCCTTGGAGCTCCGAGCCCGACTGCCCGAAATGGGCTCGGCCCCACTGCCCAGCGCCCTGCTCAGAGCTCACACGGCTGAGGGGGCAGCGCAGATTGAATAATGAACGCTGCTGGGCACGGCTTTAGCTCTGAACTGCACACTGTCACACGGGAACAAAACCCTTAACGAGGATGGGTTCCTCTTGCTGGCACAAGGAGAGAAGCAGAAATCTGACAGGAATATTCTTCATCATTCTACCCAGGCTCTGTCAAACCCTCCAGCTCCCGCACCTCGGGAAATAACAAGTGGTTTCTAAGCAGTGACTTTGATGTCAGTGAGCAGGTTATTATGGATTAATCTGGCACTGGAAAGCAGCCTTCACACCCTACTGCTCTTGGCATCACCCAAAGAGTTTGGAGGCTGCTGCCCAGGGAGCTCCTGAGTTGTATCTTCCTTGTCAATCTTATCAGCCCCTTGTTTAATTGTAAAAACATAAATAAAATGCAGGGAGCATTGGCCCAGGATCTCAGGACTTGCATATCTCTTCCAAATAAAGGAAAAAAGAGTGTTTCACCCAACCCACAGAGATTAAAAGTTCATATTATCTACATATATTTTGAAAAGGGTAAGAGTGAGAGTAAACGATGAATTGCTGAGCCAGTGGTGCTCTAGCCTATTTCTGTTCACTTCTTTCACTTGTAGCATCTCTAAGAATAATTTTTAAAACCAAAACAAACTAACTAACGACAACAAAAAAAAATTAATCCAAGCTGAATGAGAAGCAATGTGGCTGCAGGCTTGTGGCACTCCAGTGCCTGGGTTTCAGTAAGGGAGCTCATCCCCTCTGCAGTTCCAAGCCACATCCCAAAGTCCTGAGCATCAGCTTTCAGCTTTTTGAACACTGAACTGGAAGCAAAGCTGCTGGGGAGGGCCATGCTCCAGGCACATCTGTGCCATTTCATCTCTCCAGCTCTCTCAGCTCAGCTCGGCTCTTTTCCTCTCCTTGCTGGCTTTGGCTCATGCATTTCTTGAGGGGCTGCCCTGCACTGAGCAGAGCATGAACTGACCATCAGACAAACAGCTCCTGGCACTGTGGCTCTGTCCTAAATGGACCATTGCCCAAAGGAATTCCAGGGCCTCCATTTCACTTAAAATGCCTTTTAAAGGAACCTGGTTTGATGCCCTCCATTTCTAAACAAGGAGTGCACAACGCTCCTGCACTCCCTGCCAGGGGCATTCTCTGAGCCTTGCAGAAAGGCTTTAAAGCAGCACAGAGCTTGTTAAGCACCAACAACTTCATCCAAAATTCGAATCAATAGCATGGGCATAGGCTGACTTTAAAACCTACTCTGAAACTGAATTAAAGAGCAGTTGCATTGCCAATTGACAAGATGAGAAAGGTTTCCTTAGCAGTTTTTGAGATGGCAAAGTAAGGGAGAGGATGGAGCATGGAGTGGGGGAGAGAAAGGGAAAACCTTCATTTGCACAGTGGGGTTTTAACCATCATGCTCACACCTCAAGGAATTGCAGAAACCATTCTAATCTCAAGAAAGGGAAAGCTCCCTGAATATTTTTCATTTCAGCAGGAGCCTAAGGAAGCCCTCAGCAGCAGGAGATTAGAGTAATTTTCAGGAATTAGATATTTTATAGTGTATGACAAACACTGAGGAAGTCTAAGAGCCATTTGTGTGTTTGATGTAATTCTTTGGTAATTGTTCATGTATTTATTTTTTGATGGCATTTAGTTTTTTCCCTGCTGGCGGCTCCTGACTCCCTTAGACAGGGTTGTTTGTTTTTGATGATAACTTTGGAGTGGTCGGTGCTGCTGTGGCTCTCATTAAAAACTCCCTTCTGTTTCTGTTCTGTCCTGGGCCAGCGAGTCTCCCTTCTCTGCTGGGATGGGTTTGTGCCCCACGAGGGGCCGGGTGATCCTTGGCTCACCCTCAGCACTGGTGGCCGTCCCCATGAGCTCACTGTGCACACTCAGTGTGACTGTTTTGGCTCTTGGGAGAGCCCCCATGGGCGCTGCCAGATTGCAATGGCCGGGCTGAAGCACAGGAGGAATTGCAGTGCCCTCTGTGCCAGTGCCCAGCACAGCTGTGACATTCACTGTTCCACTGCCCTGGCTCAGGCTGCCAGGGGGCTGTGGCTGCTCACTGGGGACACCTCCCACCCAAAGGCCATCAGCTGTGGGCTACAGCTCTCGGGGCTGTTCCTTGGTGCACAGTTGGCTTAGTTAAAAGCACAGGCTCTCCATGGATGTCTTGCTCAGTTACAGTCCCTGGCAATG